TAACAATACACGTAAAAAGAAAGAGAGGGAGGGATACGTAATGTAGTTTTGTCGCTTAACTTCGTTCAATTCCGTTTCGTTTCGTTTCGTTCTTATCCTATCCTACCCCCCCTCTATTTCTTTTTCTCTCCTCATTTATCCTCCCTCTTTTACCCTCTCGTTTTCCCTCGTTCGACAAAGTCTCTCGTGCGTTTTTCCCCTGGACCACCTCCTCTGCTCGTACGTTGATACGCCGCTTTAATTACTGCTACCAAAGGGGTTGAGGGGACAGGAACAGGAGCAAGAGAAGCAGGAGGAACTGGGAAGGTGGGGAGGGGGAGGATAACCAGAGTGAAAAAGAAAAAACGTAGATAACGTTCGTCCACTTTATCTGGATATCTTTAACAGAAACGATCGCTTAAATAGGATCCACTTTCGCGGGACAAAAGGGGCTTTATTACGAGGAGGCTGCTTGCGACAGACGATGAGGAGAGAAGTGAGGAGGGTGGTGAAGGGGTAGGACAACGGGAGGGGTAGGAGGAAATCGTTTCTGGAATCGGGAGACTGGTCGATCGATATATAATCGGACCCCGGTTGAAGAAGAGAAATTCGGAATGTAGGACTCGACAAAATAATAAAAAAAGGGGAGGAAAGGAAAGGGATACGAATGTGGTACATGCCCATCATCACCACAAACATCCCTTAACGAAAATATGTTAACCGATTAGGTTGAAAATGTTGATAAGAATCGCAAACAACGTGTCGTATTTTCGGCAATCATCTCGAGATTTTTTCGGTTTCAAATGGAAGAATTAAAATTGAAAAGAATTGTGATAGGTGGGAACAGGTGATCGTAGTAATAGTAATATACATTAACTGATGAAGTTGAAAATGTTCACAAAAAGTCACAAACATTGCGTCGTCCAGTTTTCGGCATTCATCTCAAGCTTTTTTCGGTATCAAATGGATAAATTAAAATTGAAAAGAATTCTGATAAGTGGGAACAGGTGATCGTAGTAATAGTAATAATAGTAATAGTAATATACGTTAACCGATGAAGTTAAAAATGCTGAAAATAATCGCAAACAACGTGTCGTTCAGTTTTCGGCATTCATCTCAAGCTTTTTTCGGTATCAAATGGAAGAGTTAAAAGTTGAAAAGAATTCTGATTGGTTAGAACAGGTGTGATCATAGTAATAGTAATAGTAAAAAAAGAGAAAATCCGTAAGTTCGGTGTACGCAAGAGGGGGTTGGGGTGGAGGGTAGAAATTCTTCGTGCATGTACGTGCACATCCTAATTTTGTTCGTATTGGTGTCGTTGATCTCTCGCGGTCGTAGAACTGTTCGGTGACCGTCTGGAAATATACGGGGTGAGAAGTATCCTCCAGGTTTCCTCAGCTTCGATCCAGACGACGGGCTACGCAAGCTCTGCTTGCGAAAGGAAGGAACGGAACGGAACGGACGAATAAACGGATGGACAGAAGCAACGGAAGGAAGAAAGCAAGCAAGCTAGCAAGTAAAGAGGGTGTGGGGGGGTGCACGCATGACCCTGAACCCAACCACCGCACACCATCCTGTACAGGGGTGCGAAGCATGGAAAAGGATAGAGAAAGGGAGGAAAGAGAAAGAGAAAGAGAGAGGTAAAGAGAAAAGGACTACGAATAGGAAGAAGAAGGGAAAATTACACGTATACATAGAGAAGCAACACGCACGCACGCGGACGCATACAGATACGTACGCTCTAGGGGTGGATTGGAAGAGAACGAAGAGAGAGAATGAGAGAGAAAGAGAGAGTGGGACTCCGCCGAGGAGAGAGTACAGTCCTCGGGATCAATACTCCCGCGTCTTGCGATCATTCATCTTGCCACGCCCCTCTGCTCACTCCATACACACACACATACACACGCAGGAATATACGTAGACGCATCTACTCTCTCTTTCTTTCTTTCTTTCTTTCTTTTCCTCTTTCCTTTTCTCATAGGACACACAGTAGAATCCTAGCCCTTGGTGGTTTTCTCACACGGTTTCTCTTTCTATTTCTCTGTTTCTGTTTCTCTTTTTGTTTCTCTTTCTCACGCACGTTAGTAGACGATCAGAAGGTAACACGCACGAACATAGAACACTGCCTCTTTCTTCGTCCGCCATCTTCATCCCTACGACTCGGTACACCCCTCGTAGTTTGGCGCCCAATCGTGGCGTGTCCATTACGAATACACAGGAGTTAGGGTATAAGAAAGGAGGAGGAGGAGACAGGAGGGTGGAGGAGGGTTAAGGGTGGGAGAAAAGGGAAAGTCTGAAGGGCAAAAGGAAAGAGATAGAAAGCAAGGGCGTGCGTAATAGAGAACGGCGTAGCTTGCTGGGGTGCAATGGGGGTGGTAGTAATGGTAGTGGTGGTAGTAGTAGTAGTAAGGGTAGTAGTAGGAGGTTAAACTGTTTAACGAACACACTTACCCACACAGACACACTCGTGTGTTCTTACTTTACTCGACGTACTACGATTGCACTTGATTCGTCCTCGTTGTTCCACGTGATTCAAATGAATTTCTAAGACCGTCAGAACAACCCCTTCTACTTTCGAATCTCTTTGCTTGAGAAATAAAACAAAAAAATACAAAAGGAAGAAATAGAATATAGAAAGGGAAGATTCGAAGGATTGGTGGAAGAAAACTGTGACGGGGGGGGGAGCTTGCTTGCGGGGGATGAAGGCGGCTACTTGGCTTGGAAGGGTGGGTTCGAACAGGAACGAGAAAGGGTGGGTGGTGGATGCCCGTTCCAGATAGAAGGACTCCTTCTGCCAATAGGACGAACGGTCGATCATGCCCGACCTGATTGAACGTTCCGATAAAAGAGAGTAGTCTGCAATCTGACGGACGAAAGTCTCTTTCTTTTCAAGATCGATATATTATCTCTTCCGTATTTCTGCTCGGATTCTTCTTCCTCTTCTTCTTCTTCTTTTTCCTCCCCCCTGTTCCCTTTTCTCGCGAGTCCTTCTCCCTTTTTTTCGGTTAAAACGAACCGTGGTGTGCTGATATCTTCAGGTGACTGCTGTCCAAAATCTTGATTTTATTTTATTTTATTTTTTCGATTATTATTATTATTATTATTATTATGGTGCACCTAAGATATCAGATAAACAATTATATCGCAAGATCGGATTTATCGGAAACAATCGTTCGACAAAAATCGATTGAAATCCACAGTGATGATGGTTTTTTAGGATTCCTAAATGAATACATAAAGTTTGCATAATTTTAACCAAGCTTTCAGTTTTAACCAACTGAAATAAAATAACCAGTCAGTTAGTCAGTTAGTCAGTCAGTTGTTCTTGCAACTGCTGCACGGATCCGTTCTTTTCGCAAGCCGCGTGTTGTTTCAGACGCATTCGTAAACAGCGTGACAAGGTAGTAAAAGCTCAGAATAATCGTCAAAGCGTGAATTTTTATTAACGTTTAACGATTTTCACGGTACGGGGAGAGAAAGGGGAGGGTCGGGGGGAGGGGGGAGGGGAGGGGAAACGAGTTCCGCGATCTCTCTTCTAGTCGGTAATATAACTGCACATGCAACTCACGTACGTTTCCACATAAATATCCGTAAGAGTACGGGCGTAAGAAGTGTACTTACTACTCAATTTCTCTCTCTCTCTCTCTCTCTCTCTTTCTCTCTTTTTCTATTTCTATCTTTGTTACTCTTGGCCAATGGAACGCAGAATATTTCTACTATAAACAGGCTCACGTACGTCGTACTTATCGTTTACCGGAACACGCTATACTCGGTACGGAATTACTAATGCGCACCTTTTCTATTCTATTCTATTCTATTCTATTCAAACTAGCTTCGTTTAGTTATTTCTTTTTTTTTTTCTTTTCCTTTTTCATTTTCTTTCTTTTCCAAACCAAAAAAAGGCGTACGAGTGAGTGGGATAAACGAATGGAGGGAAGGAAGGGTAGGTTTGCAAGTGAAGAAAAGTAATAGGAAATTAGATGTAAGAGGGATGTTAGAATCGTGAGAAAAATAAAGTAAAAGAGAGGTAGGAGAACGTGGACGAAGGGATGAGAGGGAAAGAAAAAGTTCATTTTAAGGATCGGAATTATCTATGGTGGTGGTGGTGTTCTATTTCGAATTTAGATCTTTGCCATTTTATGTACAGTTTATCTGTTTTTGTATTCGTATAATATTTATTGAGAATAAGAAATAAAATTGGTAGGGGTAGGTGGGATGGGGATGGGGATGGTTAAGAATAATATTTCGATCGATTATAAATTTTGTTTTGTTTTGTTTGAAATGAGCAGCAATGAAGGCCGAGGGTGGTGGTGGTGGTGGTGGTGTTGTTGGTGATGGTGGTGGTGGCAGAGAGGTCTGGAATGGTTCCGGGGATGAAGCAGAGAAAAACGGTGGACAGATAGAACACATCTACCAACTAGCGAAACTACGTCATCATGCTAATTCTGACACCAGCTTCAGTCGGTGAGTAAACAATGATTTTCAATTATATAAACCGAAAAAAAATATTTATGTCTCACGATTATTATATTATATTATATCATAAGCGGATGCTGTTCACTATTTGCTTTTCTCGTAAATATCCAATACGGAAAAATGAAAGGTGTGGCCGTATAAAAATCTGTGCAAGAAAAGCAATCAATCAGATAATTTATCGCATTATTTTCTTTTTTTCTTGTTAAAAATAATTTGTATGATTCCGTTTCTTTTTTGTACTATCATAGATAACAGACTACTATGTTGATACTGTTTTCTGCGATTTTGTAAAAGAACCAAATATTTTATGTTGCATCATATATACAATTTTACAAAAGTACAAAGCAAAATTCGTATAGGACACAGAATATGTTTTCTAACTCGTTTTAAGTTGCCCTATTTCTTGCGTGTACACCATAAATATCGTCTCTGTAAATACCGTTTAAACAAAAACTGGCCCCCATAAATGTTTCGAATATAGTAAACCCCAATAGCGGCGATGAACAGTTCCTCTTCCTTGCACAAAAATAGAAAAAGAGAATAAGATACATGACTCTTTTTTCTTGCTTTAAGTTCTTCCTAAGTACTATTCGACTTGAACCGTTTCTTCGTTGTCCAAAGTTTCTCGAACTTTAAACTACTTTTCCTTTTTTTTCTCTCTCTCTCTCTATCTTTCCTTTTATTTTATTTTTTTATCATCTCTTGTTTTGTCTTCCTACCTACCTACCTCCCCCTCCTCCACTGTCACGAACCAACGGTTTAACTCCTTTTTCTTTCGAGGATCCTATCGAGTTACAAAATTACCGAGTCCTCCTTTTGCGTAGATAAAAAAAAATGGAAAACAAAACCCAATAGAAAAAGAGAAAGAAAGAGAGAAATAAAAATACGAGATTTCTGTTAGATTTATATTTACAAAGAAGAAGAAGAAAGTATTGCAAAAATAGAAAAATGATAAAAATAAAGGATCGTTTAGGATTAATTATCGAACGACAATTGAATGATGGTGGTGATGGGGATGGGAATGGGGATGGGGATGGGGAGGGTTTGCTTGGAAGGTTTCTTTTCGTTCATCCGATCGGAGTTTTAAACGAATTCGAGTGTAAACCAACCAACTTACGACGAATAGTAGGAGAGGAAGCAATGAACGTAAAAAAGTAAAAGAAAAAATAGAAAAGAAAAGAAAAGAAATAAACTAGCGCACGCACACAGTATTAGTTATCTAGCAGAGGGTGCGGGGTAAGAAGAAGAAGCCAGTTACGAATCGGACGTGGCAGAGAAGAGGCCCCGGCCAAATATACAACAGTGCGTCAGCGTCGCGGCGCGCGGCGTCGCGTCCTCCCCTCTCCCCCCTTCGTCTCTTACCCCTGCACCATCAACCAACTCTGCCGGTCGCCTCGTTTGAGGTCAACGTCATCATCCACCTTTCTCTCTTTTCCTCTTTCCATCTTCTCAAATCTTTTCTTTTCTTTTCTGCCCTCACACGTAATCTCGTCTCTCCTCCGAGTTGAGTTGAGTTGAGTTGAGTTTAGTTGAGTTTTTTTTAACACGTTCCCTGTCAGACTGTTTTTTGGAGACTTCCCGTTCAGGTTTTTACAATTGTATTAATTTTTTTCTGACGTATGCTTTATCAAATGGCTTGAAGGGGCACATGCCCCATGCGGCAGGAAACATCTTAACCCGTTGTTTCTATTTTCTTATCTTTTTTCTTAAGTTTAAACATTTTTTCTTTTCTGTAAATACAACAAAATAAATGGGTAACATAAATAAAATAAATATTTTCGAATAAATTTTCTGTATTCTTTGATATATAGGTTTGAATGATACGCGTACGATTTAGATGTTGCTTAAAAAAAGAAAAAGAAACCAATACCTCGTGTCGTCATATTATCGTAAGTCGTTTTCATTTTCGCAGGTGTCGAGAAGCCTTAAACCGTGTAATTAAAAGCGTCTTTCGTAACCGCACTCTTGGATGGTTTCCTATTACCCTTTCTCGAGTAAGAGAAAGAGTAAGAGAAGAACAAGAACAAGAAGAACCCAATGCATGCGAATTATTTACTCTAATAAGATATAAGATTCTTGATCATTTCTGCACAAGTTATAGGAAACAGGGGCTGAAGGGGGATGAACATATGTATCGTTTTATTCCTTTTAAAGGGTAGGGGTTGCAAAACGACAATTTTAATGAACGATAAGAGAACCCCTTAGGGGAACCGAAATTTTTGGCGCCAGGGTAGATGGGTGGTGGGTGTTTGGGTGCCACTAAAAAGTTTTTTACGAAATACGACGAGGTTCGTCAAGTATTCTGGAATACCGGGACGGTATTCTCTTTCTTTCTTTCTCTCTTTCTTTTCGAGAAGAGCAGCAGCAACAGCAGTAACAGCAAGTCCGGCTGCCGCGACGACGAGCATCGAAGCTGAGACGAAACAAAATACTGCTAAAATTAATCCCGCACCTTAGGTCACGTCTGGTACGAGTCTAGACGACGATAGGAACGCTGAAGACGAAGACGACGAAGACGATGTCCTCGTTGGACGACGAAAATGTCGACGCGTAATCGCCGAAAATGGATCGAAACGCGTGGGCATGGTTATATTAATATATGTGTGTATATGTGTGTGCATATATTTTTAGATAATTTTTATATGCTTTTGTTTCGAACGCATTGAAATATTTCAATATTTCTCTTCGATTATCATTCTCCTATTATTTCGTATCCGAAAAAAACGATTTACTATGAAATTTGTTTTTCGAATAAAAAAAACGAGGTTGCAATGATTTTTCCTCCCTTTTTTTCTTCTGTTTTTACAAATGTTCTATTATTTACACGCGAATGGGAAATGGATACGACGGGGAGGATTACCTAAAACTTGTTATTTCGTCAATTCGTTGGGGAAGAAGGGATCATCGGATAGCAGCAGGTATCTTTCTCTATATTTAAATTTGATGGACAATCGAGGATAAAATAATGATCAACGAAGATGCCAAGAACTTTAACGTATTCCGTTTAAATACCTGACCAAACGAAAATAGAGTTTTCTAAGAAATAAGAAAACTAATTATAAGATTCGTTTTAATGGGAAAGAAGAGAAGGGCAGAATGTATGTGTGTCGGATAAATATCAGATTCACCATAAGAACCTAAAACAGTAGATAGAGTAGGAGGAGGGGGTGGGGGGCTCTAGAATTTATTCAAAATTTTCGTCGAAACAAAAATGTTGTACGAGGATGCAGTCATCTGTTGGAATTCGTCGTGAAACTTTGCGTGTTCGTTCGTCTGATGATAAGACTTGCTGCAACAACTCGTGTCTCGTTCCATACGATTATTTTCTAGCCGAGAACGTAGAGAAAAGTAGTAGAGAGGAGAGGAGAGGTTAGGAGAGGAGAGGATAATGCGAACATTGTTCGGTGTGCACGCAGCTTTCGACCAGATGGCACAATTTTCCGATTGTCATCCTGCTTTTTCATTCGGTATTGCCTAGCTGTTCCCGCTTTCAGCTTATGGGATAGACGACTAAGGGGTGGTTGAGGAGATGGAGTAGGGAGGAGGGAGGAGTATGCAGCCAAACAAATGCGAGGTCAGTGTATCGGATATTCGCAACGCGCGGGTGGGCGAGTGGGCGTTCGGCCGGCCGGGTATTTTCAACGGTGCCCCTTTTGTGTTAAAAAGGAATTTTCATCGTTTTTCCAAACGACCAATCCTGCGTGGTATATATATCGGGCATTTATCGTGTTCGACCAATAACAAAAATCCTCTTTTATTTGGATCGTTTATATAATATAGTAAAACGGAGGCTGGATTGGGGAAAGGTGCCCATTGTTGAATTGAATTGACAATTTGGTTTAGTTTTCAAGTATCTATGATGTATTAAGTATTATCGGGACTTCTATCGTTGTAATCGTCATCTAGGTTCGATGAATAAATTATGAATCGAGGTTGATGATGCATCGGATTGGACGTGACCGTAATCCCCGATTATTTTTTTTCCTTCTCCTTCGTAATTTTTCAGTGCTGCTGCTGCTGCTGCTACTGTTGCAAGTTTCGCGCGTGGCTTAAAGTCATTGCGGTTGTGTTTCCATGGGTGGTAAAAGTGGCAGCAACGGGGACGAAAGGGCAAAGGGGTGACGGGCGACGGGTATCATAAACGTTAGCAATAAACTGGCTCTCTATCGTTCACGAAGTCACGAGCTTAAACTCGGTGTGTTTCTAGCAATAGTTAGGGCAACATGACACGATGCCCGATGGCACCGCTTCGTCGTCGTTGGTTTCGTGCTTTTAAACATCACCATCATCACGCCGATGAATAATAATCGTCTCACCGGCGTTATATTTGCCGATAAACGCAATTATTGCGTACATGCAAATCGAGTACTAGACCCAATAACGATATTTTTCTGACACGGACAGAATAAAAAAGAAAACAGGAAACAATATATATGTATAATACATTAGTTACACGACACCCTGATCACGATGTTAGTGTTTCTTCTTTACGACCACCCTGTCCCCTGATTTTTCCTCGTAATTTTATGAAAACTTATGATCTTAAATGTAATATAAATGAAAAATAAAAAAGAACGAATGAAAAAGGATGGAGAGAGATAGTTGTTGGTTGGTTTGCTGCATAATTTTGTAAGATTTCGTTGAAATCGTTTTACCAAATATGTTCGCGATCCTTTCTTTTCTCTCCTTTTTTTGCTTTTTGTTTTTTTTTTAGCATAAATTCGCATAAATGCAAACGAGGAAACGTTAGAGGATATAAAAAGGAGAGCGTATCGTTTCTCCCATCAAGGAAAGAAAGAAAATTCGAATGCACGGAGCCGGTGCCGGGGCTGGTGCCCCTGTGCCGGTGCCGCACACGAGCCGAACGATCGTTAAACGCTTAACGACTCCGTGCCTTCGTCGTTTCCGGCGGACATTTTAAGCTGAACTCGTATCTCCGTATCGGTGGTACTCCTACTTCGATTTTTTTTTCATTTAAACACTTCCAT